ACATCACACACCAATCCTACTTAACTAAATGTTGTCATATGTATGATTACATGCGATAAACAGCTTGATGAATCACACACCAATCCTACTTAACTAAATGTTGTCATATGTTTGATAACATGAGATAAACAGCTTGGCAAATCACACACTAATCCTACTTAACTAAATGTGGGCATATGTATGATAACATGCGATAAACAGCTTGATGAATCACACACCAATCCTACTTAACTAAATGTTGTCATATGTTTGATAACATGAAATAAACAGCTTGGTAAATCACACATCAATCCTACTTAACTAAATGTGGGCATATGTATGATAACATGCGATAAACAGCTTGATGAATCACACACCGATCCTACTTAGCTAAATGTTGTCATATGTTTGATAACATGAAATAAACAGCTTGGTAAATCACACACTAATCCTACTTAACTAAATGTGGGCATATGTATGATAACATGCGATAAACAGCTTGATGAATCACACACCAATCCTACTTAACTAAATGTTGTCATATGTTTGAAAATTGGAGATAAACAGCTTGGTAAATCACACACCGATCCTACTTAACTAAATGTTGTCACATGTATGATTACATGCGATAAACAGCTTAGTAAATCACACACTAATCCCACTTAACTAAATATTGTCTTATTTATGATAACATGAGATAAACAGCTTGGTACATCACACACCAATCCTACTTAACTAAATGTTGTCATATGTATGATTACATGAGATAAACAGCTTGGTAAATCACACACCAATCCTACTTAACTAAATGTTGTCATATGTATGATTACATGAGATAAACAGCTTGGTAAATCACACACCGATCCTACTTAACTAAATGTTGTCATATGTATGATCACATGCGATAAACAGCTTGGTACATCACACACCAATCCTACTTAACTAAATGTTGTCATATGTATGATTACATGCGATAAACAGCTTGGTAAATCACACACCAATCCTACGTAACTAAATGTGGG